ATCTCTGAATTCACAATGCAACCTCAGCAAGGGTAGAAGGCCAGTGAGGTGAGTTTGACATTATATTTCTGTATAGAGTATAAATCAGGCACGTCCAACCTGCAGCTCATATACTGAACACATCCCAGATAGTGAATGCCCACAATGTCTTATATGACATCATGTTACAATGTCAGAAGGTTGGACACCCCTGACAGAGTAGGTGGTTATGAACTTTGAACTCATCATTTCATAGATTTTATACCATATATGTAGATGTACCATAGAGACCAGTCCCTTAACCATAAATGCAGCAACCACGTTTTGAGTATATGAAAGAGTTGGCCTCTGATCAACTAGGTTTCTCTTGCATGGAAAAATGCTATGTCCAAAGGGCCATTAAACTAACGCAATCTAATGGGCCAAGCACAGAAAGCTTAATCTGACAGCATGCATCTGTTGGAAACCTTGGATTTTATGCAGAGGCAGTATAAGGCTGAGTCACAAGATCTGGGTTAGTGCTATAGAAATCGCCAGAAAGAAACCATAAGGGAGTGAAGAAATAACTCAGTCAATCGAGAGTGTTTTCAAACTCAAGCTCCATAATGCATATAGATCTCACTATAAAAATATTATTCTCTAAAAAAATACACAAATGTTAAATATTCCATTTCTATAGCGACTCCTTACCCCCACCTATACCACACAACTCATTTTAGACTACAGAAAATACAGGCCCTCATCGGTGGCCCCATAGATGTCTGTCTTTCTTGCTTTTTCAAGCTTGTCCAATTGTGCTTACAACTGTGTTCCTGGACCCAGGTAGGAGGCCTAACAAGTTTGCTCACAGCAGGCAGCACTGTGAGGAAGTCACTGTAAGAGCTCACACACTCCCTGTGTCCTGCGCCTGGAATGTCAGAGTGATCTGCAGGCTCAGATGGGCACCAGAAACACATTCAGTTAGCAGAAGGGCAGAACTAAGGCCCGGGCTCAGCCTACGTTAACCCCTCTGCACACCTGCCTGAAGCTCCTGGGATGGAATTCACAGCTCTGGGTCGGAGTGAGGAAGAAAATGTTGTGTTAACACAGCTTTCGAGTACAGCCTTCAATTTCTGCTCGTTTGTTTGTTTGCTTTTGTTTGTTTGCTTGTTTAAGACAGGACAGAAAAGGAGAACATAAGCATTCAGTGCTAAGGCAAGCTATCCAACGGCACATCAAAACCCTTTCTCTGCCATTCACTGTGTTGACATCACTAGGCAGATATAGTCTGTAAACATATACGCTATACAGTACATTAACCACGTAAGGAAAAGAAAAGAAAACACCCTGTATGTCTTTTCTTTCTGGGATTCTGTTCTTTCAAGTCAGAAGGAGTTGTGAGGAGCCTAGGGAGAATTTCATGGTTGGTGAGAGGTGCTTTTATTTTGATTAAAACAAACAAACAAACAAATAAACAAAGAAAAAAAATGCAGTTACTTGAAAAAAAAAAGCCCCAGGTGACCAGTTGGAGGCAGTAGGGGAAGAAATGACCATTCACACCTCAGCCTGTAGAAACTTAGAAACAGTCACAATATGTAAAAAAGTCATGAACATCAGGCAACATTTTGCTCCCCTGCCTGGAAAGAGAAGACAGTGAAAATTACTGTCGCAATCATCATCATTATTATTGTTACAAAAGTTAAGGCTGTCCAGGTCTGTGATGGACAAAGTCTGTGGTCCCTCTGTTACCTATTTTCACATTGACAGCTAGGTCTTCTGTGGCAGTTCTGACCCTCGGGTGTTAGACTGGAGTAGGGAAGCCGAGGCCTCAAGCTATGTAAGAATGTTGGGGAGCTGGTCGGAGGATCACCGGTGAAATTTTCTTTTAAAAAGTTCAGGATGTAGTCTTTATACCTCTCTACATGTACACAAACAGCATTTGGAATTTTAGTGAAGTGGATTTAAGAAGTTTGCTAAAGTCATAAATTTTTTTTTTTTTACTCTTCTAATTAGGAATTTTAGCTTTTTCCCTAGAAGATGCAGGCAGGTTTTCCTGCCAAGTCCTAAAGACGGCTAGCCTGTGAAGGTGAAAGGCCAGCAAGACCTAGGACCCTATTTTTCTCATTAGTTTGAACTGTTTTATATGACTGACAACTCCAAAGCCCCTGCAGTGTTTTACTAAGCCAGTAAAACAAAGAATGCTTTTCAGGTCTGTCCTAATCAATACACCTTGATTAAGAGACTAGGGAACTTTCAAACAATTGCATATTTATGAAGTTTTGAAAGCTATCTCCTTAAGATGCTGGGAGTTTACAGGAGCAGTTATAAATGTGAATATTACAAAAATACAATATGAAACTGTTCACCTTGAAATGGCTTGAACTGTAAGCTGATACTTCAGGAGATGAGAGTGTGTCTGCCAGGGAGGGGGCAAGCTTCCTGTGCTTCCGAGTCACAAAAAGAGCAACCCACTGTGTAAGTTTTAAGTAAGAACGACACCAACCAAAAATGTCCCCAGTGCATGTTCTTCCTGCCTTCATCCGTGTTTCCAATGAACAGGGCCAAGGCTAGCATCTCAGTATTTTTCCTCTATCTCCTTACTCTGCTAGTGTTGTTTTTTCTGAGACCCGTTGGTTCTGGAGTTAAGTGGCTTATAGTTTTCAAGAGTGTTCTGTGGTTCCTGGAAAGAAAATTCTTCTGGAAGTGAGAGTTCTGTCCCAGAGATGATACTGTATATCCCTGGGAAGACCCCTATGTGCATTTGTCTTTTCATAAAATCTCAATACAGAAGGGAATTTTTCAGCCCTCTCTTCAACACTGCCAGTGATAACTGGAATCACCACATAGCCAATCAGCTTAGAAGCAATTTGATTTTTGTTGTCACGTAAGGAAAAGAATACAATTATGGTATAAGGTTAGCTTTTCTGCATGTTAAAAGAAAAAAGTCAAGAATATTCAAGATTCTTTAGATATGTAAGGCTAGACATGGCCATTATAACTGTCAAAAAAATCTAAATATCATTAAAATAAAATATTCATTTCTTCTCTTTTGTTTAGAAGGGAACTGATTATATATATTTATATATATATATATCACACACATATGTGTGTACATTTTTTTTTTGTGGCAGAGTCTCACTATGTGGCCCTGGTTAACCTGGACTCACTATATAGACCAGGCTGGCCTCAGACTAACAAGGATTTGCCTACATCTGCCTCCCTAATGCCAGGATGGAAGGTGCACTCCACCATGATGGGTGGACATGGATTATATTTTAAAGAACAGCCCAGTTAATATTAGCTAGAAATAAGTGTGGTTTTGCAACTTCATCATGGATTCTTTCCTCTGCTTATGTCTGGTTATGACCACACAGCCACATGCCTTGCTTCAAGAAGAGGTAATACCACAAATTAGAGAGAAAGAAATGAGAGAGAGAGAGAGAGAGAGAGAGAGAGAGAGAGAGAGAGAGAGAGAGAGAGAGAAGAAAGAGAGAAAGAGAGAGAGAGGGAGAGAGAGAGTCCATAGCATGGGGAGTTAGGACCCTGCTTACATTTCCATCTTCAAGGCCATAATTTGATGCTATAGATGGGCTGAACAAGCTCATTCCAGAAAAATGATTGACTGAACCCGGGTCCCCCACAGAGACTGGAATAGTATGCAAACGTTGGCCATATTCAAACACACTTTCATTTACTGTAGCCACAAATGATTTTCATAAGGGCAATACATCTTAGCTTCAATTAAAAGATATTCTTTAATAACAAAGGTATAGAGCAAATCCTAACTCAGAGTTTTCTAGTTTCTTGCTCATAATAATGGCCAACAGACTGGGGTGGGTGTCCTTGTCCCTTGAGATCTTATGAAGAGTGGAGGTACAGACTGTCGTCTTCATAGATAAGTCATTCTCATAAGGAAGGACAGGGGTGATATGTCCTCAAAGCTCCAAACAGCCGTCCCAGGGGCTCTGAGCTCTGCTGTCCACTCCCTCACTGTGCTTCGGAAACCTCACACTGAGCAATAGAATCCCCAAGAGAGTAGAAGAGACAGGCTAAGTAAACTTTTAGATTGTACATTTCCCAAATGACTTCTTAAGATGATAGATTGTCTAAAACCATGAGAACTAGTTTCTCCTTCTGTGGAAATGGATTTATCCACATGGTGTTTTGTTCAAGGCTTGTGTGCTATTTAACCACTGGGGGACAATGAAGTTGAGGGCAGTGTAGGCTGTTGGCACTGAGCCTGGTTCCCGGATAACAGTTGCTGTGATCTACCGAAGCTAGTTTTGCGAAGCCCAGACCTAGCGATAAATTCCCAGTTATCTCACAGGGAAACCTTGGAGGGGGCAATCTGGGAAACTTTACTCACTCCTTTGCTATTCCTTTATTTTTTTCTTGTTTATATATTAAAGATTAAAAATGACCCATGTTGTGCTCAATAAAAATGAAACTACTTGAGAAAAGAAGAACAGAAATTTCCTTCTAATCATAATAGATATAACTTTCAAGCCAAGAAAAGAACAAAATATCAGATTTATCCTCAAACAAGTTAAGTGGGACAAATTTAGTTGGGACTGTGCTGTAATCCTCCAGTCCCTTATTATTATTTTTCTCTCAGAGCTACTTCCAAGATACATTAAGACATGATATAGCAGGTCAGAGTATGTGGTTCTTCCATGGGAACATACATGATTTTGTTATTGATTTGTATGCAACTATGGTGTCTGGAAGTTATCTCATTAAAATCAGTTACCACGGCCCCACTTTCCCTGTCTCCTGTATTAGGTCCTTTTTCTAAATCCCTCCCTGTTGCTTTCACTAAACACATGGCTGTCCAGTTTAGGGCAGAGCTAACTATGGATTTCAATGGGATGTTTATCAAGTTTGAGGTTTAAGAAAATTCCTCAATATTCTACAATTCCGAGACATGAAGAAACGGTGCTTTAAGAAGCCCAGGAATGTGCCATGTAGTTAGACTAAGTGGTAGAATTCAAGATCTTCATCTTTCAACATTTTTCACAATTTTCATTGAAAAGCTTTTTTTCTTTTTTTGAGTGAAGAGACCTATATTTTGAGGTTACATGAAACATTCTCTTACCCATGGGGACATTAAATAATAATTAAAAAAAAAGCACAGATGTAAGACTAATGATCAACTGGGCACAGGAGATGGACAGTTAATGCATACAGCACCATCCTTGATACAGTGAGGGGTATTATGACAGCCTCCCCTATGTCAGAAAGACTGTTTTAAGGAATATGGTCACTGCAAAGAGACTTCTCAAAATGATCCCCTCTTTGAAAATAGATGAGTTCTATCAGAAAATATACATGAAAAAGAAAACAATATGAAACTTTGTGTTTTGGGGGAGCATGGAAACAAGGCTTATGGACTGGTGAGCACGTGGGCACGGAGCGCAATGGTGGCCTGAGGTCCTTAGAAAATCCCGTATACAGGGCTCATTGCGTAAGCCATAGAAAGAGAGAGCTGCTGACCACGACTGGTGAGTCAGTCCCTACACTTCCGCTGGGACAGGCGCTGGGTTCTTTGCTCTTGAGTCAGCTTCATTGTGGTTTTAACAGAGGGAAAGCACAATACTGTAATCTGGAAGCTTACATAAGGCAGCAAAGGAAAAGCATCATCCTAGAACAGCCAGATTAAGGTAGGTCCACTTTTGGCTACGCTAGCAGCCAGCTACAGCCCACAGCATTTTGCTACACAAGATATGAAAACAAAGATCCACACAGCAAAGGAGGCAGGTAAGAAGCCAGGGCCATGGCAGTGTGTGTGTTTGTGTGTGTGTTTGTGTGTATATGTGTCTAGGTTAGAGGAACACACACCAAAATGAAAACCCCCAGTGCCAATGGGTTGGAATCCAGTCAAGTCAATTAAGGCTACAAGATAACCAGCTGCTATGAAGAGTCCACTCCAAGCAAGTCGTACCGCACTGATTCAACTCTTGAAGACACAAAGAAAGGTTTAGAGGAAAAAGTAAGTTCTTGGGGGGAAAAATGAAGCACACACATGCACGTTGTTTCCCAAGTGAGGAGAAGGAAAGATGTGAGCGAGAGATCAAAGCAAATCCAACTGCGAGGCAAGGCAGGTGTTTGCTTCCAGTTCACAGTATCGCAGTTAGTGGTAGAGTGAGGTCTGTTTAAGAGGTGGAGAGTAGAAAGGCTGCCCGGAAGAAAGGGGAGGAGAAAGAAGTGGTCACATGACAACACAGCATTGACAGCGCTTTTTCTTTTGGGTACCTGGGGCGGGGTCTGTGGCCAGGCTCTCTTCCTTGCCTTCTGGGGATGAGGGTTCTGTGGTATCTGACATGGGCCTGCCGGACACCAGCTCAGCTGCGTTCCCATCGATCGTGGACACATCGGTCACTGTCTTCTCTCTTAGCGACTTTTCATCGTCTTCATCAATCAGGACTAATTCGGCCTTGATGGTTTCGTCATAGCCTAGCACCTTTTTAGTCTCCTCTTCATCCTCAATGTTTTGGTAGCCCATAAAAATCATGGTGACTGGTTGATCCAGGTTTGCCTCTGGCCCTTCTGTGCTGGGGGGCTGGGCCTGCTGCCCGGGGTTTCCCGAAGACTGATCTTTCCTGGACTTTTGCACCATTTCTAACTTGGCCTCTTTGCAGAGCATATGTTCCTTAGGATGTCCCAGGCTCCCATCTGCAACAACAGTCCTTTCTGACATGTGTCCTCTGAAGCTCGATTGTCCAGCCTTCTGAATTAGCTCTTCCACATCCTTTGCGCTTAATTTGTGGACTCCGTTTTCTACCACGGTGCCTCCTGAGTGCACCTCATACACTACTTTGGTACCATCATCATAGACTTTGACTCCTCTCTGATGGACCCCCTCTGGACCAATGGTGGATGCAGAGAGAATCTTGGTCTCTCCTGTTTGTTTGTCTTTCTCCACATTAATTTCCATGGCGTATATAGCTTGAATGAAAACAAGAGAAAGGAAGTGCATGTTACAACAAAAAAAGCCAGTGAATGGTTAATTGCCAAACAGACAAAAAAAAAGTGGTTTGTGCCTTTTCTATGGTAACACCAAGCATCCTGAGTGTTAGCATGAGGCGTGCGGTGTGGACAGAGGCAGTTGTGTGTGTGTGTTTTAACACAGCAGCTTAATGCACTGAGAAGACAAATGCACACAGTCATCGTATCCCAATGAATTCAGGCTTTTAAAGAGACTGGCTAAAAGAAGAGACTTATATAACAGGACAGATGGATGGGAAGACCAGCAACCTGCAAATGACCTTGACTGAGATCTTCCTCGGGTTGTATTCAATTTCTGTACCTAAGTTCCAGAACCTTACAGCTGTTTGCCCAACTCTCATCAAACGTGCATCTGGTTTCTCCCATACGTTTCCTCCGAGTGTTAATGGAGAAGGTGCAGAGTATTCTCCAGGTGGGATACAGCTGTCCTCCACTATGCTACAATTGGCTATGTTGCAAAGATTACAAAAGCTTTGGTATGCTGTGCTCTGCAAGTACTCTAGTCAATTATTGAAGCTTCTTAAAAAAAAAAAAGCCACTGAAAGAACAGGTTGTCTCACCACCTGTAGCAAAAGAACAGGGAACGGTGCCCCCAGAGCCTCTGTTCTCTTATCCGTTCAGAGTTAAGCCTCATGGTTCTGTCCCTTTATTTCCCCTTCTGTTATCCTTTTTTTCTGTTCCACTCCATTCCATGCCTGTCAATCATAACCATGAGACTCTTCTTTCCTTTTCCCTAGGCTGAGGAAGTGCACGAAAGGGACCAGACTCTCCTACCATCTCACGTCGTGATGCCAACTTACTGTTCCTAAGCACCAGCTCTCTTCTGTCCTATAGCCTCTTGGGATACCCAACATTTGTGTCCAGTGGGTCTCAACTTGTGGGTCATGACCCCACTGGTAGATCAATGACCCTTTCACAGAGGTCACTTAAGACCATCAGAAAACACAGATTTACATTATGATTCATAACAGTAGCCAAATTACAGTTATGAAGTAGCAACGAAAATAACTTTTGTGGTTTTGGTGTCACCATAACATGAGGGATTATATTAAAGGGTCTCGGTGTTAGGGAGGTTGAGAACCACTGGCCTAGATAGTACTCAGACACACTAGGCTCTGTGGCTTCAGAACCATTGTATCTCCTCTCAACTTTTCTCCTCATCTTGGTGTTAGGTGACATCAGTACCACAGCTTAGTCTTTTAGTCTTGTAAGCCAAAAGCCTTGAATCATGTCTGATCTCCCCTTTCTAATCTCTCATATCCAGTCATTGAGAAGATCTGCGTCAGGGATTCCCACCATTTTCTTCAGCATCACCTCTTCCACCAGGCCTCATTCCAGACTCCTCAGGTTTTCTACTCAAGTCCTGAGGACTATACATAAGGACAGAGGGACAAATGTTTTTATATGGCCAGGAGGAAGAATGGCTTTCTCTATATATATATTTAAAGGTTGTATGAAATGAAGGAAGTCATTTGAGAGATGGAGACAGGAGGATGAGGATTTCAGGGTCGATCTCCACTGTATAGTGAGTTTGGGGCCAATGAGGACTACCTGAGACCCTGTCTCAAAAAGAAAAAGGAAAGAAGGTAGAAGACAGAAGGAAGAGGAAATATAAGAGGAAGGGAAGAAAGAAGGGCAAGGAAGAGAGGGAAAGAGCAGGAGAAGGAAGGAAATGGGGAGAGAAAGAAGGGAAGGAGGGAAAGAGATGGAGGGAAAGTAGAAAGGGAGGGGAAGAGAGGAGAGAGAGGGAAAGGGAGAGGGAGAGGGAAGGGAGAAAGGGAAAGGGAGGGGAAAGGAGGAGAGAAGGGGAAAGGGAAGAAGGGGAGGGAGAGGGGGAGAGGAGAGGGAGAAGGACAGAGTTTGCTAATAGAACATATGTGGTTCTGAGTCTAAAAGCTTTACAGGCAGGCCGTTTATTGGGGAAGCCTGCTGAGCCTGTAGCCAGGGCTCCGCCTTCCTGAGTTTCCCATCTCAGAAATCTGCTCCCTGGCTTAGCTGAAGCTCTTCTCAGAATCTGTCCCCATCTTTCCTTGTCATCTCACAGTCCGTCTTGCTTTCCAGACACATTGGCCACAACAAACCTCACATTATGTATAGGATGCTACCCAGCCTCCTGCTGGGCCTGTAGTCCTTCTGCCTAACTTGCTTTTCACCATTCCTCTTGAGTAATATAGAATCTCAAACCACATACATGTTCATCAATGACTGAACCCCTCCCCCTTTTTCTTAACCCCTCCCCTTTTATCTACAACTTGTTAAGAAGTTCCCGGTTGCCTTTCAGCTGCTAAATCCTATCTCCCCTTCCCCTCACATACAAACAGATCACTCCAAGCCATATCTAAGCAGTTTCTGATGTTAAGATTCTTGCCTGCAACATCCTTTGCACTTTCTACACATCCAAATGTGGCACAGAGTCATCAATGTCAAGATCAACTGTTCCTCTTCCCAATGGTTTCTCTGAACCTCCCATCTCTAAGTCACCCCTCTCTTCTTAAGACTCACTGAACACTTTCTATACTTCTTCAAGGACACTGAACAATCTCTACCCCGAAGTGTTTGTATGGTCTTGGTTTTGAACTCCAAGTCTTCCCAAGTGCTGAGACTATAGCAAGTACCAACACTAGTATTTGTAGTGATGATTTATCAGATTTATAGGATTTTAAAAAAATTCTTGCCTCCCATCTTTGTGTGATCTGCCATTGCTAGACCTACCCCAGAACCTTTTCTATAAGGTACTTGATATACACGTTTGTCAAACAAATGTGACTAAGTGATCTTCACCAGCCACAAATACTTTGTATAATAGGATAGCAAATAAAGTTTCATGCAGCGATGTTTGTAACAGTTTTAGGAATCAGTAAAAACATTGTTGCAGTTGTTTGCATGATAAGATACAATCTGTTCATGGTTGACAGCTGAGCTAAAATGATCCAGAAGAAAACTCAATGCCTGGTTTTCACAATATACATTTTGAATGTTTTAGTTGCTTGGCATAAAGATGAATTTTCAAGTGACATCACAGGAGGTCAACCAATATTTGTCATGTAGGTACATGGGTTCACATACAAGGACTGTGATATAAAAAAGATATTTATCTCAGTGATTTTCTGTATAGCATCTTATCAGAAAAACATAATGGATATTTACAATTTTACAGGGACCCTAAAGCTTGTTTTTGTAAATATTACAGCTTAATTAAAAATTCAGATTTGAATTGAAATATTATATCTTTTTACTATTTAACATAATGATTAACAGTGGTAGGTAGCATATTGAATTGTCTCCCAAACTTCCACCAACATGTAAACAAAACAAATCTATTAACCTGACATCGGTACAAAGCACAGAACAAAATATTTCTATGCTGGTAGGGTAGAGATGAACCAGTAGGATACGATCACTTCAGTTTTGGTTTCCAACTTTCTGTCAGCAGCATTAGGGCTGAACCAAGGCCTTATGCATGCTCAGCAGGTGCCCTGTCACTGGGCTACAGATCCAGCCCAAACAATTTTTTTCTGAGACAAGGTCTTGCTATGTAGACTACTTTCTCTCAAACTTGCCCATCCTTCTCCTCAGCTTCATGGGATTATGGGTATCTGACTTCACAATGGGCAACTTTGGGGGAGTTTTGTTTGGTTGGTTTCGTTGGTTTGTTTGCTAAAGAAGCAACTGTCCTAGAGCACTCAAGACTGAACTACTTCCTTTTGCTCTCCAAACGGTCTACTATTTGGCAACATCTCTCTCTCTCTCTCTCTCTCTCTCTCTCTCTCTCTCTCT